CCCAGGCTGGAGTGCAGTGGTGCAATCTTGGCTCACTGCAACCTCTGCCTCCCAGGTTCAAGCGATCCTCCTGCTTCAACCTGCCAAGTAGCTGGCACTACAGGCACACGCCATCATGCCCAGCTAATTTTTGTATTTTTAGTAGAGACGGGGTTTCACCATATTGCCGAGGGTGGTCTTGAACTCCCTACTTCATGATCCGTCCACCTCGGCCTCCCAGTGTGCTGGGATTATAGGCCTGAGCCACCGCGGCTTACCAGCCACTTTCTTCCTCTTTTAGTCTCATTCACCCATGGGAAGTGACTGAAGGAGGAAGTTCAAGGGCGAGAGTGAGCGCCAGCAGAAGGCTGGGTGATGGGTTGGAGTCTGTAGTTCATTCCTGCTGCCAGGCTTCACCGAGGGCAACGGGGACCCTTTTGAAGAGAAGATGTCCCTGCTGACGCTCTTCTCCCTCTTCTGGCTCTCAGGTGAGTGGGCCTGGGTAGATCTTCTTGGGAGAAGCTTAGCCAGCAGGAGGAATTGGCTGACAGAGGGAAGAAAGAACCTGGCCAGAAGGTGTCCGTTATGGTGTGAACCTTGTGCGTTTCATCCACGTACACACTCACCCGGTGTTTCTGTGGCCAAGGCAGGGATACAGGGCATGGCTTTATCATGAAGCCAGTGAAGGCAGAATTCCTGACCCCCAGAGGCTGATCATGTGAAATGGACAGATAGTAGGCCCCGCTGGCCAGGGAAAAGCAGAGGAGGAACCCAGACTGCTCAGGAGAGCGGGCAAAGGCCTGATCCTGGACTGGGTGGTCTGTCACCTGCGTGGATGTGTTGAGCAAGGGCAGGTGTCAGGGAAGAAGTGAGGCTGGAGAGGCTCTGAAAGGAGGAAAGAGGGAGTTTGCGGGCAGAGAGGGAGTGGTGGTTCTAGGCATCTGGGGCAGAAGGAAATAGTAGAAGTTGCTGAGAGACTGGAAAGGTCAAGAGGAGATAAACTCAGCAGGGGCGTAGAGGAAAGGAGGGACAGAGACGTGGGCATAGCCAGAGGGCGGGAGGCACCTTAAGTTGGTGCATACAATTTTGAGTAAAAATGAAAGGAGGCTAGGCAAAGAGGCTCATGCCTGTAATCCCAGCACTTTGGGAGGCCGAAGTGGGCAGACTGATTGAGCTCAGGGATTCAAGACCAGCTTGGGTAACATGGCAAAACCCTGTCTCTACCAAAAATACAAAAATTAGCCGGGCATGGCAGCATGTATCTATGGTGCCCGCTACCTGGGAGGCTGAGGCCTGAAGATCACTTGAGCCCAGGAATCGGAGGCTACGGTGAGCTGTAATCACACCACTGCACTCCAGCCTGGGTGACAGAGCAAGATCCTGTCTCTTAAAAAAAAGAAAGAAAACAACAACAACACAAAATGTAAAGAAGTGCTAAGTACTGTGAGGAAAACAGAACAAGATGATATGTTACAGTGGGACTCAGGTGGTGGGGGTGCTTTAGGTCAGGTGGGCTGAACAACCCCCCTGAAGAGGGTCCCAGATGTCTGTCTGAGCCAGGACCTGGGAAAAATAAGTTGGAGAAGGATCAGACACAGGATTGGGACCAGCCTTCCAGGCACAGGGAACAGCAAATACGAGGGCTCCGGTGTGGAAATGAGCTTGGCCTGGGCACCTCTGAGGAACAGGGAGGTCAGCACGGTCACAGGTTTCAGAAGAGCCTGGTGGGGAGATCGGAGGGGGGATATTATTATCTTTTGGGAGGAAAGGTCTTGCGGAGGGAAGTGATGTGTCTAGAACTGCGAGGCTGGTAAGGGTAGAGCAGGGAGAGGCTCATGAACTCTTGGCCCTGAATTTCAGCATGGAAATAGAGAAGGCAGACTTTGGGTGAGATGTTAGGAAATGCCTTGGTACAGTGAGACCAGGACAGGTGCGGCTGCTTTTTCTCTGACATCTGGAAATGGGATAATTTGGTGGCGAGCAGATGTGAGAGTCGTGTTGGGGGTAGGTGTGGTCTGGGACCTGTCTGAAGTGGGCAGAGCTGCCAGCAGGCACAGCTTGGGCAGCGACACGGAGCCCGGAGAGCACTGTGAGCCTTCGTGCATCAGCTTTTGCCAGCCTCTTTCGCGGAACTTCCACCCACAAGCAGCAACGATGCCTGCACCGCTTCCCCCTTCTAAATAATTCATTGTTTTAAAATACTCAAGAAAAAAAAAAATACCCATCAGGAAGTTCGTTTTCTGTGAGAAAGGAAGGTGCCTTTTTTTTTTCGTTGGGGTCTCAATCTATTGCCTAGGCTGGAGTGCGGTGGCATGATCACAGCTCACTGCAGCCTCAACTCCTGGACTCAAGTGATCCTCCTGCCTTGACCTCCTGAGTTGCTGGGATTAAAAGCATGAGCCACTGTGCCTGGCAAGAAAGAGATTTTTGTTTTTATTTTTGAGATGGAGTTTTGCACTTGCCCAGGCTGGAGTGCAACAGCGCAATATCAGCTCACTGCAACCTCCACCTCCTGGATTCAAGCGATTCTCCTGCCTCAGCCTCCCAAGTAGCTGGGATTGCAGGTATGGTGGGCTATTTTTATATTTTTGTTTTTTGGAGACAGAGTCTCACCCTGTGATCCAGGCTGGAGTGCATGCACATGGCACGATCTCTGCTCACTGCAACCTTTGCCTCCCGGGCTCAAGCGATTCTCCTGCCTCAGCCTCCCGAGTAGCTGGGATTACAGGTGCGTGCCACCATGCCCAGATGCTTTTGTATTTTTAGTAGAGATGAGGTTTTGCCATGTTTCCCATGCTGGTTTCAAACTCCTGAGCTCAGGCAATCTGCCTGCCTTGGCCTCCCAAAGTGCTGGGATTACAGGCGTGAGACACTGCACCCGGCCGCACTGGGCTTTTTTCCTACAAGTCTTTATTGTTTCTGTTAAAGTTATTCCTAGGAATTTAATATGCTTTTACTGCTAATGTAAATGAGCACTTTTCCACTTTATTTTCCAACTGTTTATTACCAGTTGATTGATTTTTACATATTTATTGTTTGTTTAGCCACTCTATTAAATTCAATTATGAATTAAAATATTTTTTCATTTAAAATTAAAAAATTTTCTCTAACTTATCATTTCCCTTTTGATAATTATAAATTTATAATTTTCCTACATTGATTAGAACTTCCAGAGTCATGTTATATATATTGTCAATTCATGTTTTGTTAATGATTCAGTAAGAAAGTCTATAGTATTTCACTGTTAAGAATAACTTGGCTGGTGGTGCATGGTGGCTTACGCCTGTAATCCCAGCATTTTGTGAGGCTGAGGTGGGCAGATCGCTTGAGCCCAGAAGTTTGAGACCAGCCTGGACAACAAAGTGAGACCTTTTCTTTGCAAAAAAAAATTAGTCAGGTATGATGGTGCATGCCTGTGGACCTGTGGTCCCAGCTACATGAGATGCTACCGCAAGAGGATCGCTTGAGCCCAGGAGGCTGAGGCTGCAGTGAGCCATGTTCGTATGGAAAGCCAGAAGTCTCACTGCAATCCAGCTTGGGTGACAAAGTGAGACTCCATCTCAAAAAAA